ACCGAATCCCATCAGAGTTTGTAACTGTCTGTTTACATGGACAATAGGCTTCTGTAAACAGCGGTATATCCCCAATTCTGCAGGGAATTTCCGTTGCCTTGGTAATTAGTTAGATGGGAATGTGAGACAGCGATGTTTATGAGTGGAGAGATGGGGTTGGAAAAAAGAAAAGGGGGGGGGGGGGGGAGGGGTTTGCAATAGTAACAACTGTGAGGTAATCAGTGTTGCAATCAATTCTTTGTATTTACATTTTCTACTACCCGCGTGTGGTTTCCGGTCAGAGGTTGGACAACGTCGCTGCACTTCAAGTTGAGCGAGTGAGTAAAGTTCAAAACTACTAGGACCGCATAACAAGCTATGAACACAAAGTGCCACCATTTGGAATCACCCGGGTACAAACCTTAGGAACACTGTTCAACCGTTAGATTAGAATGAGAAACCATCTGGGTACAAATCGTAGGAACTCCGTTTAACCGTTAGATTAGGATGAGAAGTCATTGCCAACAAGTCCCAAGTCTCAGTCATTGTGAATGCTTCGAGTCCCGAGACAGGTCATTTCATGACCTGTCAAAGTCAACTGAAATTCGGGAATTTTCAAAGCTTGTGCACTGAACTAGTTACTGTTTCAACATAAGACTAACAGCCAACAATTTTTACATTTTGATTTTGCATGCAAATATGCGTTCAACCGCATATTGAAGGTTTTGCTGTATAAAAAATTTTACAGAAAGCTTGATAAACAGAAACCTAATTTATTATAAACATGTTTTATATGAAGATGTTATACATTGTGACGTCGATCAGTACCTCACAGTGGTCAGCCTGGACGAACCAATGACACCAAGTCACTACTAGTCGCAAGTCGAGTCACATGTCGCTGAACAAAATTCATATTCAGATGTGCACGCAAAACTGATTTTCTGGATCAAGACCAGAGTGCAGAGATAGTCTAACAACAAGGAATTTATGCCAGTGAAAGTTCAGAAGAAGAAGAATAAGAAGAAGCAGTTACACAACATTTAATTTAGTTGTGTTACAACTACACCTTGAAAGATAGGACCACAAACACCTGAGCTCACTCTGCAGACCTGCCCACTCTACCTACAACTTCGAAAATAAATCTGGCCTCAAGAGCAAAGTGTGCACAGCAAGCTATGGGGAACCATGAAGGACCTGCAACTGACATGCGAGTTCATAGAAGCAACCCACCTTATGGTCTGACTTGAGCATGCACAAATCTAACTTCATAGGCAGCACCTAGACAATTTCTGAACCAACATAAACTATGATTCACTATGAAAACTTGAACCAACTAGACTCGACAAACAAAACTGACTGGCCCTTATCCTGAGCCGATGGTGCCACTCATTACATATTGAGGATTTTGAAGCTTAGATTTTCACCAAAATTTCATAGTAGAAATTCGTAGGTAAACACAGTCATTACTGTGTGGTCTGTCAGACAGAACACGTGGGTGTTTATGCCTTGTCACAGATCTCTGTCTTGTGTGTATTGGAATACTCATCATCATCACCACTATTGTCGTCGTGATACTCATCATCATCATCGACACCATCACCATTGTCATCATCATTATCACCATCCTCATCATTGTCGTCGTCAGCATCATCATCCTCGTGTCGTTATCGTCACCGTCGTCGATATAATCATCATTTTCGTCGTCGACGTCATCAGCGCCGTCGTCATCATTGTCGTCGAAATCATTGTCGTCGTCGTATTCATCATCGTCGTCGACATAATTATCATCATCGTTGACAACATCATTATCGTTGACAACATCATCATCATCGTTGACAACAAAATCATCATCATCGTTGACAATATCATCATCATCATCGTTGACAATATCATCATCGTTGACAACAACATTATCATCGTTGAAAACATCATCATCGTTGACAACAACTTCATCATCTTTGACAGCAACATCATCATCGTTAAAAACATCATCATCGTTGACAACATCATCATCGTTGACAACATCATCATCGTTGACAACAACATCATCATCATCATCGTTGACAACATCATCATTATCATCGTTAAAAACATCATGATCGTTGACAATAGCATCATCGTTGACAACATCAACACCATCATTACTGTCATCATCATTATCAGCATCATCGTCATTGTCGTCACCATAATGGTCGTCGATATAATTGTCATGATCGTAATCATCGTCGTCGACATCAACGTCGTCATCAATGTAGTCGTCGTCATCATCGTCATTATCATCATCATCCTCGTCGTCATCATCATCACCGTCGTCTATATAATTATCGCCATCGTTGTTGATATAATTATCATCATCGTCCTCGTCGACATAAACAATGTCGTCATCAGCATCATCGTTATCATCATAATCATGGTCATTATCGTCATCATCGTAGTCGCCGATATAGTCATCACAATGATCATCGTCATTATAATCATCATCGTCGTAGATATTGTCGTTACCGTTGTAGACATCATCACCCTCATCTTCATCATCATTACTAGTATCGTCATTATTATTATCATCATCGTTGTCATCATCATCCCTAATATTGTCTATTGTCGTCGTGTTAAATTTGTACACGCCACACAGTGATCACGATCTTTTCGTCAAATTCTCCCGGTGGCGTACAAAGGTTTGGATATCATAGACTGAATCAACTCCATCTCCTTAGGCCTCGCTTACTAACGTTCTTTCTGGGGTTTCTATAAGACGTCCTCGTTTTCATTTTTTTTTTTTTTTGATTTTGGATTAAATAAAATGAATAAATAAACTGTGAAGTGTCCTCACAATTTGATAAAGTAGTCGACACTCGGTGACTGAGATGATCTTAGCAACATGCCGGCCACCTTTACTTCCCATCACATGACCCGGAAACCTTTTGAAGGCTGTCCACCTTGAAGCCAAGGTCAATTTTTAAACAAATCCGACTCAATACCCATTTAAACTTAAAAACTATAGGCTGTGGGGCAACCGTCTGGCCACTACGATATCCTTTTTCCCATGTCTGTAATGGCACTAACCATAAAATTGGTGCATAAACAACATCCTGTTTCGTGTTAAACTCAACTATATCATCATGCTTTGTGATGCCAGGTTGCCGGGTTCGATCCTAACTGAAGTCAGTTTGGCAGTAGACCATTTTGTGTTGATTCAGAAAGTGGTGTTAAGAGCTGACCGTACACGTTTAAACTTCTTTTTCTTCTTTTTAAAGTCCACGCCATGTGCCCTTAGTAGTCATGATTATCCACAACCTTCTGTCTAGTGGACTTTGAGTCAATTTTGACACACATGATCCTCCATGATGTCAGACTATCTAGCATCTTTTCTCGCGGTCTACCTCTGCCTCTCCTCCCATTAGACCTTCTTACTGTCACGATGTACTATAGTTTTCTCCTTCTCATCATGTCGATTGTCTCTTAAATCAGTAATTACGTGTGTGCAATCTATCCATGATATTGGATTGACTGTACAGGATAAATCCAAATTGAGGAATATACTGCTAACCTTTTTTTTTTTTTCTTTTTTCTTTCTCTACTCTTGGAATACCTCGTGGCTTGCACATGATGGAATAACAGGACAATAGATGATTGAAATCGTAATGCAGTGGATACCGTCTCATTGTGGAGTGCCTGGAAATGAGAAAGCGGATCAACTGGCAGGGGAAGGTGCGACAAAAGAGCAGTCACATACGACCAAAAGAAAAGAATCATTAAATCGATCAGGAAACCACAAGCCACAGCACAAGACGACTATATTATTATGGACAGATAAGAACAAGTCATTATCCTCCTCCTCAGAACAGGGCGCAACCGATTGTGTAACCGCATGTACAAAAAATTCAAGATAAGCGTATCAGCCATGTGTACCAGTGGAAAGGTGCCCCAGACAGCAGAACATGTACTCCAGGACTGCACCGAATTTGACACATTAGGGCAAACCTTTTTGCCAGAAAGAACAACAGTGGAATGTAAACTCTATGGACCACTGAATGAATTAACAATGACAGGAAAACTTATACAAGAGACAAAATTGTTGATATAGACAACTTATTTCAGGCGAACGAAAAGAAGAAGAAGATGATTGAATCCTAAGAAGAAGATTAGCCTACCAAAGATCACTGCTCGTCTCATTCTAATCATCCTGTATAACATTCAACTTTCCTTTTCGCCTGGACAGTTATTGATAGTTAATCTGGCTATGCAAGATATTCGTGTAGTTCGTCTCAAAACATCACACAAAGGAAGCGTCTCTATACGAGCCGGCGAAACAAAAAAAAAAAAAGGTCTCTACAGGATAAGCAGAAAAAAAAAAAAAAAAAAATAGTGAGGAAGTATTATTATAAAAGATAATAATTTTATAAACACAACTTTCCCAAAGTACACGTCTGAATTAGTCTTTTGTCTGACTGAAACTTGCAGTTATTAGAAAATGTTTTTAGCAGTATGTTTTGATGTTTGGTCCGGACTAATATTGAAAGTTTTGTATCTGCGTGAGTCTTTTCTATGCCGTCCGTCGAGCATTCTAGTCGCATCTTATGTTGTATTCAATACTTGTTCAACAGACTGATTGAAGCAAAGAAGATGAACCAGTATCTGGTTATCAGTTAAAGAACCTCATATGGAATATGTGTTGTTATATGCAAGGGGAAACATAGACAATAAGCAGACATGCTGGCGTGGGGGGGGGGGGGGGGGGGGGGAGAGGGAGGGGACTCACAATAACCTTTTAGCGTAGATACTGCTTATGTCTGTGGATTAGGTATTGCGAACTCGCTTCGTAATACCGGGGTGCTAGGTTCGATTTGAGCTGCTGCGGATGGTTTGTCTTACGCTGATTTCGACAGTTTTACCGGGAGCTGACCGTCCAGTAAGCAATGAGAAAAACCACAACAGTAAAAAATTGCTGAGGTTGATTTCGCAACGTCCTGTAAATGATGCGCAACTAACTTTAACTGTTTGTGAGAAAAATACAACGAATATCATGCAATTATAGAAAAAAAAAAAAACGAAGATAGTCCTGCTTGAGACAGATGACAGTCCAGTCCTGCTTGAGACAGATGACAGTCCAGTCCTGCTTGAGACAGATGACAGTCCAATCCTGCTTGAGACAGATGACAGTCCAGTCCTGCTTGAGACAGATGACAGTCCAGTCCTGCTTGAGACAGATGACAGTCCAGTCCTGTATGAGACAGATGACAGTCCAGTCCTGTATGAGACAGGTGACAGTCCAGTCCTGCTTGAGACAGATGACAGTCCAGTCCTGCTTGAGACAGATGATAGTCCAGTCCTGCTTGAGACAGATGAGAGTCCAATCCTGCTTGAGACATGTGACAGTCCAGTCCTGCTTGAGACAGGTGACAGTCCAGTCCTGCTTGAGACATGTGACAGATGACAGTTAAGTCCTGCTTGAGACAGATGACAGTTAAGTCCTGCTTGAGACATATGACAGTCCAGTCCTACTTGAGACAGATGACAGTTCAGTCCTTCTTGAGACAGATGACAGTCAAATCCTGCTTAAAATATGACAGTTAAGTCCTGCTTGAGACAGATGACAGTTAAGTCCTGCTTGAGACAGATGACAGTTAAGTCCTGCTTGAGACATATGACAGTCCAGTCCTGCTTGAGACAGATGACAGTTAAGTCCTGCTTGAGACATATGACAGTCCAGTCCTGCTTGAGACAAATGACAGTTCAGTCCTGCTTGAGACATATGACAGTCCAGTCCTGCTTGAGACAAATGACAGTTCAGTCCTGCTTGAGACAGATGACAGTTCAGTCCAGCTTGAGACAGATTACAGTCCAATCCTACTGGAAATTTGACAGACCAGGCCTGCACATCATCCACCACGCCCTATACCCCTGAAAGGGATCCTTTACTTTTGCTGTCTATAATCATAACTCACTCAATACAGACACATACCTGAAACAAATGCATCACACATGCATACCATTGTCAGTGTTTTGAGCATCAAGTCTTCGGACAGACGATGCTGAGGATGCTGGTGATGATGAGGATGTGATGATGAGGATGTTGATGAGATGATGGTAATAGCCATTAGGATGAAAGTTGAATGTTGAATTTGGAATGGACATCAAAAGACTCAGGACATTCCCAAAAGTGTCCTGTCCCACATTTTCAGCAGCAAGAGCAGAGTTCTAACTCTGTTGGTACCAGTCCTCTTCTGCTTCTTTGTTTACCCTTTTGTTCGTCCATCTGGACTTTGGCTTTGTGCCAGGGCCTGAGTTTTGCCTGCACATCCGTTTTACTGGCTTATTTGTGTGCAGCTGGTTGTTCTTTGCTGCTCGTGCAAATGCAGTCCGACTTCGAAAGAAGTTTCCAGCTATTCGACTCCTACGACAAGCTTCTTGGAAAGCCAGTGAGTTTATTCCTGTTTTCATCACTATGGGGCCCCCGAACGCCCCCCTCCTCCCTCCCTGGAGTTGGCACCAGTAAAGGTCTGACTCTATATCCATCTCGCCTTTCCCTTGAGCGAAATGATGAACATAACAATACTAATGTGGATAATGAAAATAATAATTGTTAAAGAAACTTGAACGGCCTACAGCAAAATTAAGTCGAAAAATGATCGAAAAATTAAGTTGAAATCAACCGGAAGCCATTCACAATGAAGTGAAGGAAAACGTTGACACAACATGATTCAAGGATTCATTTCTAAATCCGACTTCTGTGAGAGTAAAAACAGGGGTAATGGACTGAAAAATGCATAATTGAAGAAATTGGCTGTGAAAGCAGGCATAGAAAGTGCTGGAAATTGAGGCCAGAGGAGCTGAAGAACGGAACATTTATGAGAAATTCTGACTCTTTTTTTCTTTCTTTCACCAGCATACCAGGGAGTCTTTCGCATGCTCAATCTGGTTCCATTCTATTTCAGTAAAATAAGAATATTCCAGATTTTCTATTTTTCGTAATCCAAATTCGTGCACAGGAAAAATGCAAAATTCGTTGATAGCCGTTTTCAAGGCCTAGCGGGAATGTCCGGTAAGTCAATGCCGGATTTAGGTAAAAGCTAGATGAGTTAAAGGTGGTCTACAATTTTCTTTTTTTTAGGTTCCAACCCTCTCTCAATTATATATCAAGAACCCTCGTGCCACCCAGACCATCCGTCCCCGCCTTCCCCGATTGTATGGCAATAACCCTCATGTCAGCCCACCCACGACCGGCACCAGTTGACAGGCCGTGCTGCTGACGTCACCGGGTCGAGCTAACAATGCGTTGAAGCAGCGGTTCTCAAACTGGGTGCCGAAGCCCTCTGGGGTGCCGTGAGCGTATACCAGAGGTGCCTAGGCAATAAGCAAGTAAGTGAAGTAAAGATCCCTTTCCACGCCTTTAGGTGTATCGGGCATATGGGAAGGGCGCCCATATTTTTTACAGACTATCAGCACTCGGTGGGTAATGTGGTCAGCATTACACCGGCTGTCTTTACTTTCCCAGGACAGCCCATCCTGGTACCCATTTTAGGCTGGGTCGACCTGCGACGCCCCATACCATGATGAAAAATCCACGCAGCCAGCAGTGGGTTTCGATCGCGGTACGCTGGATTACGAGTCGGACTCGCAACGTCTAAGCCACAGACGCCGCCGAGGCAATAATCAAGAAAAGTCGGCTAAAAATTATGAAATTATTAAAGAAGTCATGAAGATACTTAAAAGTTCACATTTAAGCTGTCTTCTCTCACCACTGTCGAAAATAGTTTATTACTTGTTTGAGAACTGCTGCGTTAAAGCATTGTTAGCCCGACCAGCTGACGTCAGCAGCACGGCCCGTCAACTGGAGCCGGTCGTGGTTAAAACCCCCTCCCACCCCCCCCCCCCCAACACAAAATATGCGATTAAAAAGAGAGGGATGAAAAAATATTCCAGTACTGTTAATCAGAATTTAGATAAAACACTCACATAATTCAAAGTGTCAAATAAAATAGAAACAGCTACAAGCAACTGGAAATTTATTATCATAATATCAATGTTATGGTTGACATTGTTTTGTCTTGATGATATCTGATATTTATGTTCTGATATTGGACAAGGCACACCGGAGACCACTCTCCAAACCAAGCTGGCAGTACTGTTGTGTTTTCATGACGGTTAAACTGAAAACTAGGCATTACGGGTTCAAATGCACTCAATATCAAAATTACGTGACGCCACTTTTGAAACTTCCTCACGTCCCTTTAGGTGTCGATCCGTACCCCTGGTTGGAGATTGTCTTCAAAAGCCAGTTTAGTATTTTTTACAGGACGTTGCAGAACCAACCCAGCGTTTCTTGGCTGTTGTGGTTTTTCAAGGATATTTTTTTTAAACGTAGTAGTTTTCCATTGCTTTCTGAACGTTCAGCTCTCGATACCACTGTCGCAACCAACGCAAGGCTGTCTGCTGCCAAATTGCCCGCATCTGGTATCGAACTCCCCACCCCAGTATTACGAAACACGTCTACAAAGCCTACCAACTGCCTTAGGGCCTTAACGCTGACAGAGGCCTGGAACAGGTTTTTTTTTTTTTAATGCGTAGTGTTCTTTTACTATATTTTATGTGTCAGGAAGGAGCCGCTGTGGTCCAGTGGCTAGACGCTCGCCTGCTGATTGGAAAGTGCTGGGTTCGGGTCCTAAAAGGGGCCGTTCGTGTTTATCAAAAATGACCTTGGCTCACATCGACCCAGTCTTGATTGGGTACCAGGTACAGTCCTAGGAAGTAAAGGCGGCCGGCGTGGTGATAACAACATCACCCACTAAGTGCCGTTTGGTCCATAAAATATAGCCTTAGCTCTATATACCCAATAGGCATTAGGGCCCGGAAACGGATCCTTTACTCTTTATTTGTCAGATAATCTCTAACTATCATATTTTCCGAAACCTTCTAAGTCTTCCTGTATGTCTAATTCTCTAAAAAGTGCCTGAATAAGCTCTTAAACCAAATTAGATGTCTCTGTTATCAGATTCTTATTTCTACTGTGTTACTCTATCTTAGAAACAAGAAGCCAAACGAGAGCTTGATATTTTTACGTTTAGTACAATACATTCAATCCGGCGCACTATGAATATTGAGGGGACAGAGGGGAGGAAAACCTCAAGGCTAGAAACAAGATGGAAGGGAATTTAATGGTCTGTTTCCGAAATGTGTCATATGAAGAACAGAGAATGACATTTCTTGTGATCTCTGTATTCTGCTTTTTGCCTTTCCGTCCATTTTTTTTTTTTTTTTTTACGTTTTGCGAATTTCATTCAGAAATGCTACCTTTCTTCTTCTTCTGCCGTGTATCCTTCAATGGAGCACAAACCCTCAACAAACTCTGACCAGGTCGTTCCATCCTTTGCTATTGCATGCAGTTAACCCCAAGCCTTCAACTTTTTTGTAAAAGGTAAAGTCGGGAGATGTGAACCAGCGTCATTGCACACGGTTATAAACCATAAGTGCTCTGCCACCAGTACGGACTGCTGATAAGAAACTATCTGCCTGTGTCGCCGTCCGCATGGAGCTCCGTAACTACAGCGACGTTCCTCCGTTAACCCAAAAGTGTTAACTCTGGTACCCATTTCTTAGAGGCTGGGTGAACCCCAGGAAACCGTCGGTTTCAAACACCGGCCGTGGGCTGCAGCCAGTCGCAGCTTGATTTGAAAGCGAGTCTCCTATCGACTGCGCTAACGCGGCCCCCTCAACTTTTTAATCTCACACTATAGCTCCCTTATCCACATGTTTCTTTACCTAGTTATTTCTATGCTTATGCGCAATCTATTGCAAAGACATTTTTGCCATTTTGCTCTCTGGTTTTTTTTTTCAGTGTGTTCCATCCAACACCGCTCCATCCCTACCCACCAACACCTTTTGGTCCACTAGAACTTGTTTGGTTTACTCCCAGAGCTCAAAATTAGTGACTTCCCTAAAATTGTATTCCCTCTGCTGTGCGTCCAAGGCCTAGGCGTTGTGAGTCCGACTCGTAATTCTAACGTACCGCGTTCGAAACCCACTCCTGGCTGCGTAGATTTTTATCATGGTATGGGGTACCGGGATGGATATCCTATGGAATTAAAGACGGCCGGCGTAATGCTGACCACACTACCCACCTAGTGCCGACTGGTCAGTAAAAATATGGGTGCTATTCCCATATTTACTTTACTATTTACTTACTGTGCGTATGCAACAGTTAATGAATCTGTGTAGTTTATTATTAGTAATTGTATTAGTAGTTCTCCATGTTTCTGCTCCATACAGTAGTACTACATGAACGTTACTCATAACTGGTGTTTGTGCCGAAGAAAGAAGCTTTGGAAGAGAATTTAACAAATTCATGGCGAATTAAAGTGATGAAGAAAAGACTTTGGTATTCAGTGATGGCTTGTGCGTTGGCTCTGAGTAACCGCACCACCCC